GGAATTTGGGGGAATTTTGGGGATTTTTGAGGAATTTTGGGGGATTTTGGGGGAGAATTTGGGGGAATTTTGGGGGGATTTTGGGAAAAATTTGGGGGACTTTTGGGGGGATTTTGGGAAAATTTGGGGATTTTGGGGGGATTTTGGGGATTTTTGGGGAGATTTTTGGAGATTTTGGGGATTTTGGGGAAAATTTGGGTGATTTTGGGTAATTTTGGGGAAAATTTGGGGGAATTTGGGGGGATTTTGGGGGATTTTGGGAAATTTTGGAGGATTTTTGGGGGGAATTTTGGGGGAATTTTGGGGGGAATTTTGAGGAATTTTGGGAGATTTGGGGGAGTTTGGGGCGGGAGATTTTGAGGGATTTTTATGGAGATTTTTGAGGGATTTGGGGGAGATTTTTGGAGATTTTGGGGGGATTTTTGGGTGGGATTTTGGAATTTATTGTGAGATTTTGGGGGGATTTTTGAGGGGATTTTGGGGCAGATTTTTGGGGGATTTTCGAGGGATTTGGGGATTTATTGGGAGATTTTTGAGGGATTTTTGAGTGATTTTTATGGAGATTTTTTGAGGGATTTTTGGGGGATTTTTTGGGGAAAATTTAGGGAGAATTTTGAGGATTTTGGGGGGAATTTTTGGGTGATTTTTGGGGAAATTTGGGGAGAATTTGGGGAGATTTTGGGGGGATTTTCAGGAGTTTGGGGGGGATTTTGTGGAGATTTTTGGGGGGATTTGGGGATTTTTGGGGAGATTTTGAGGGATTTTGGGAAGATTTGGGGGGGATTTTCAGGGGGATTTTGGGATTTATTGGGAGATTTTGGGGGGATTTGGGGGAGATTTTTATGGAGATTTTTGAGGGATTTTTGGAAGATTTTGGGGAGTTTTTGGGGGAGATTTTGGGGTGACTTTTGGGGAGATTTCAGGGCATTTTAGGGAGATTTTTGGGGAGATTTTGGAAGAATTTGGGGCGGATTTTTGGGGGGATTTTTGGGGGATTTGGGGATTTATGGGGAGATTTTTGTGAATTTTTGGGGGGGAGTTTGGGGAGATTTTTGGGGGATTTTGTGGTGATTTTGGGGATTTTGTAGAAATTTTGGGTGATTTTGGGGGTTTGGAGGAATTTTGGGGAGATTTTGGGGATTTCTGGAGGAGATTTGGGGAGGATTTGTGGGGATTTTGGAGCATTTTGGGGAGATTTTGGAGAGATTTTGGGGAGATTTTGGAGGATTTTGGAAGATTTTGTGGGGTTTTTGGGAAGATTTTGGGGGATTTGGGGAGATTTTGGGGATTTTGGGGGATTTTGGGGAGATTTTGGGGAAATTTGGGGGATTTTGGGAAGATTTTTATGTGATGATTTTTGGGGGATTTTGGGGAAATTTGGGGGATTTTTGATGAATTTTTGAGAGATTTTGGGGGATTTTTGGAAGATTTTGGGGAGATTTTGGAGAGATTTTGGGAGATTTTGGAGAGTTTTTGGGAGAATTTTGGGGTGTTTGGGGATTTTGGGAGATTTTGGGGGATTTATGGGGAGGTTTTGAGGGGATTTGGGGATAAATTTTGGGAGGGTTTTGGGACCCCCCTCCAAAATCTAGGGGCCCCAGGGACAAAGGGGGCCTTGGGGACATTTGGGGGAGGGGACTCTTTGAGGGGAGGAGGAGAGACACCACAGCCCTGATGATGTCATCGCTGTCCACAATGACGTCACCGCTGTCCCTGTGACGTCATCGGCGTCCCCAGACCCAAAACCCACCCCCAACCCCAAAACCCCACCCCTCATATCCCCCAACCCCAAACGCCCCAAAAACCCCCAAGTGACCCCAAAATTGACCCCAAAACCCCCAAGTGACCCCAAATCTCCCCCAAAATTCTCCCCCTCCCCTTTCTCGCCCTCCCCCCACTTTGGCCCCTCCCCACCCTTCTGACCCCTCCCCCACTCTCCCGGCCCCTCCCCCACCCTTCTGGCCCCTCCCCACCCTTCTGATCCCTCCCCACCCCTTTGGCCCCTCCCCCACCCTCCTGGTCCCTCCCCCACTCCTGGTCCCTCCCCCATTCTTGTCCCCTCCCCACCCTCCCAGCCCCTCCCCAATCCTGACCCCTCCTCTGGCCCCTCCCCCACCCTCCCTGACCCCTCCCCACCCTGACCCCTCCTCTGGCCCCTCTCCCCCATCCCAACCCCTCCCCAATTTCCCAACCCCTCCCCACCCTCCCAACCCATCCCCAATTTCCCAACCCCTCCCCTCCTCCGGACCCCTCCCCCACCGTCCCAGCCCCTCCCCCACCCTCCCAACCCCTCCCCCATTTCCGACCCCTCCCCTACCCAAAAACCCCCAATCCCTCCCCTCCCCTCCCCCTCCCCTCCCCTTTTCCTCTCCCCTCCCCCAAACCCTCCCTCCATCCCAGCCCCTCCCCCAATTTCCCGACCCCTCCCCTCCCTCCCAGCCCCTCCCTCTCCCTCCCAGCCCCTCCCCCTCTCCCCTCCTCCCTCCTGGCCCCTCCTCCTCCTCCTCCCAGCCCCTCCCCCTCCTTCCAATTTCCCAGCCCCTCCCCCTCCCTCCCAATTTCCTGACCCTCCCCCTCCTCCCAGCCTCCTCCTCCCCCAATTTCCCAGCCCCTCCCCATTCCCCGACCCCTCCCTCTCGGCCCCTCCTCTCCCTCAGCCCCTCCCCTCCCCTCCTAGCCCTCTCCCTCTCCTCAGCCCCCTCCCCACCCTCCCAGCCCCTCCCCTCCTTCCCAACTCCTCCCCTCCTCCCCAATTCCTGGCCCCTCCCCTCTCCTCAACCCCTCCCCTCCCTCCCAGCCCCTCCCCCTCCCAATTTCCCAGCCTCCCCCCCTCCCTCTCAGCCCTTCCTCCTCCCCTCCCCATTTCCCAGCCCCTCCCCTCCCTCCCAGCCCCTCCTCCACCCTCCCAACTCCTCCCCCTCTCCCCCAATTTCCCAGCCCCTCCCCAATTCCTGACCCCTCCCCTCCCTCCCAGCCCCTCCCCCAATTTCCCAGCCCCTCCCCTCCCTCCCAACCCCTCCCCCTCCCTCCCGACCCCTCCCCCATTTCCCAGCCCTCCCCTCCCTCCGGACCCCTCCCTCTCCCCAACCCCTCCCCACCCTCCCAACCCCTCCCCTCCTTTCCAGCCCCTCCTCCACCCTCCCAACCCCTCCCCTCTCTACCCTCAATTTCCCAGCCCCTCCCCCAATTCTGACCCCTCCCCTCCCTCCCAGCCCTCCCCTCTCCTCAGCCCCTCCCCCTCCCCCTCAGCCCTTCCCCTCCCTCCCAGCCCCTCCCCCAATTTCCCAACCCCTCCCCTCCTTTCCAGCCCCTCCCTCTCTCCCTCAGCCCCTCCCCCTCCCTCCAAGCCCCTCCCCCTCCATCTCAGCCCCTCCCCCTCTCTCCGGACCCCTCCTCTCCTCCCAGCCCCTCCCCCAATTTCCCAACCCCTCCCCCATTTCCGACCCCTCCCCTCCCTCCCAACCCCTCCTCTCCCTCCTGGCCCCTCCCCCCACCCTTCTGACCCCTCCTCCTCCTCCCAGCCCCTCCCCCTCACCTCCCAATTTCAAACCTCTCCCTCCTCCCAGCCCCTCCCCCAATTTCCCTGCCCCTTCCCCTCTCCTCAGCCCCTCCCCCTCCCCCACATTTCCCGGCCCCTCCTCCCTTTCAACCCCTCCCCTCCCAAAAACCTCCAAACCCTCCCCTCCCCTCCCCCCACCCTCCACGCCCCTCCCTCTCTCTCCCGACCCTCCCTCTCCTCAGCCCCTCCCCTCCTCCCAGCCCCTCCTCCACCCTCCCAACTCCTCCCCCTCCCCCCAATTTCCCAGCCCCTCCCCAATTCCTGACCCCTCCCCCTCCTCCCAGCCCCTCCCCCAATTTCCCAGCCCCTCCCCCTCAGCCCCTCCTCCCCTCCCAGCCCCTCCCCCAATTTCCCAACCCCTCCCCTCCTTTCCAGCCCCTCCCCTCTCTCCCCCCACCTTCCGACCCCTCCCCTCTCTCCCAGCCCCTCCCCTCCCCTTCCAATCTCCCAGCCCCTCCCCACCCTCCTGGCCCTCCCCCAATTTCCCAGCCCTCCCCTCTCCTCAACCCCTCCTTCCTCCCAGCCCCTCCTCTCCCTCCCAGCCCCTCCCCTCACCTCCCAATTTCAAACCTCTCCCCCTTCCTCCCAGCCCCTCCCCCAATTTCCTGACCCCTCCCCTCTCCCTCAGCCCTCTCCCCTCCCCCCAATTCTCGGCCCCTCCCCCCTCTCCTCTGCCCCTCCCCCCATTCCTGACCCTCCCTCTCTCCTCCCAGCCCTCCCCCCTCCCCAATCTCCCCACCCCTCCCCTCCTCCCAGCCCTCCCCCTCTCCCCAATCTCCCTGCCCCTCCCCTCCCTCCCAGCCCCTCCTTCTCTCTCAGCCCCTCCTCCTCTCCCAGCCCCTCCCCTCCCTCCCAACCCCTCCCCCCATTCCTGACCCCCTCCCCTACCCAAAAACCACCCAATCCTCCCCTGTCCCCTCCCCCTTTTCCCTCCCCTCCCCCAACCCCTCCCTCCATCCCAGCCCCTCCCCAATTCTCCCAGCCCTCCTCTCTCCCTCAGCCCTCCCTCCTCCTCCCAGCCCTCCCCCTCCCTTCCAATCTCCCAGCCCCTCCCCCTCTCCCTCAGTCCCTCCCTCTCCTCCCAGCCCCTCCCCTCCCCTACCAATTTCCCAACCCCTCCCCCAATCTCCCAGCCCCTCCCCCTTCCCAGCCCCTCCTCCTTCCCAGTCCCTCCCCACTCCTCCCAACCCCTCCTCTCCTCCCAGCCCCTCCCCAATTTCCCAGCCCCTCCCCTCCCTCCTGGCCCCTCCCCTCCTCCCAACTCCTCCCCCCACCCTCCTGGCCCCTCCCCTCCTCCCCAATCTCCCTGCCTCCCCTCCCCTCCTCTGACCCCTCCCCTCCCTCCCCCCTTTTCCCTCCCCCTTTTCCCTCCCCCTTCTTTCCCTCCCCTCTCGCCCCTCCCCTCTCACCCTCCCCCCCGCCTCCCTCGCCCCCCCCCGCCGGGGTGTCGTGCGCCGGTGGCACCACCATGTCCTATGTCCCCTTCCGAGGTACCGGGGAACTGGGAGCTACTGGGAGAGACTGGGAGGGCACTGGGAGCCACTGGGAGGCACTGGGAGGGAACTGGGAGGGACTGGGAGCGACTGGGAGCGGACTGGGAGAGGGGGAGGGTTCGGACTGGGCGGACTGGGATTGGGGGTGGAGGATGCGCTTACTGGGGGACTGGGAGCGGGGAGGCTCAAACTGGGAGCGGGAGAGACCCTACTGGGAGCGGGGGATGCTGTTACTGGCCATACTGGGAGCGGGCGGCCCCTACTGGGGGTACTGGGAGCGGGGAGGCTCTTACTGGGGTACTGGGAGCAGGGGATGCTCTAATTGGAGATACTGGGAGCGGGGGCGGCCCTTACTGGCCGTACTGGGAGCGGGGGATGCTCTTACTGGGGGTACTGGGGGCGGAGGATGCGCTTACTGGGGGTACTGGGAGCGGGGGCGGCTCTTACTGGGAGCGGGGGCGGCCCTTACTGGGGGTACTGGGAGCGGGGGCGGCCCTTACTGGGGATGCTGGGAGCGGTACTGGGGCCGGGGGAGGCTCTTACTGGGAGTACTGGGAGCGGGGGCGGCTCTTACTGGGGGTACTGGGAGCGCTACTGGGGCCGGGGGCGGCTCTTACTGGGGATACTGGGAGCGGGGGCGGCGCTTACTGGAAGCGGAGGATGCTGTTACTGGGGGTACTGAGAGCGGGGGCGGCCCTTACTGGGGGTACTGGGAGCAGAGGATGCTCTTACTGGGAGCGGGGAATGCTTTTACTGGCCATACTGGGAGCGGGGGCGGCTTTTACTGGGGATGCTGGGAGCGGTACTGGGGCCGGGGGCGGCTCTTACTGGCCGTACTGGGAGCGGAGGATGCTCTTACTGGGAGCGGGGGCGGCTCTAATTGGGGATACTGGGAGCGGGGGATGCTGTTACTGGGGGTACTGGGAGCGGGGGCGGCCCTTACTGGGGGTACTGGGAGCGGAGGATGCTCTTACTGGGAGCGGGGGCGGCCCTTACTGGGCATACTGGGAGCGGAGGATGCTCTAATTGGGGATACTGGGAACGGGGGCGGCTCTTACTGGGGCCGGGGGCGGCTCTTACTGGCCATACTGGGAGCGGGGGATGCCGTTACTGGCCATACTGGGAGCGGGGGCGGTGCTTACTGGGAATAGCGGGGCCGGGGGCGGCTCTTACTGGGGGTACTGGGAGCGGAGGATGCTCTAATTGGGAATACTGGGAGCGGGGGCGGCTCTTACTGGCCATACTGGGAGCGGAGGATGCTCTTACTGGGAGCGGGGGCGGCCCTTACTGGCCATACTGGGAGCGGAGGCGGCTCTTACTGGGGGTACTGGGAGCGGGGGCGGCCCTTACTGGCCGTACTGGGAGCAGGGGCGGCCCTTATTGGCCATACTGGGAGCGGGGGATGCTGTTACTGGGGGTACTGGGGGCGGAGGATGCGCTTACTGGGGGTACTGGGAGCGGGGGCGGCCCTTACTGGGAGCGGGGGAGGCGCTTGCTGGGGACGCTGGGACCGTACTGGGAGCGGGGGCGGCTCTAACTGGCCATACTGGGAGCGGGGGATGCTCTAATTGGGGATACTGGGAGCGGGGGCGGCCCTTACTGGCCGTACTGGGAGCGGGAGATGCTGTTACTGGGGGTACTGGGAGCGGGGGCGGCCCTTACTGGGAGCGGGGGATGCCGTTACTGGGGGTACTGGGAGCGCTACTGGGAACGGGGGCGGCTCTTACTGGCCATACTGGGGGCGGAGGATGCTGTTACTGGGAATAGCGGGGCCGGGGGCGGCTCTTACTGGGAACACTGGGGGCGGAGGATGCTCTTACTGGAGATACTGGGAGCGGAGGATGCTCTTACTGGGAGCGGGGGCGGCCCTTACTGGCCGTACTGGGAGCGGGGGCGGCTCTTACTGGGGTACTGGCAGCGGGGATGTCGTTACTGGGAGCGGGGGCGGCGCTTACTGGGAATAGCGGGGCCAGGGGCGGCTCTTACTGGGGGTACTGGGAGCGGGGATGCTCTTACTGGGAGCGGGGAGGCGCTTACTGGGGTACTGGGAGCGCTACTGGGAGCGGGGGATGCTGTTACTGGGGGTACTGGGAGCGGGCGGCTCTTACTGGGAATAGCGGGGCCGGGGGATGCGCTTACTGGGAGCGGGGGAGGCGCTTACTGGGGGTACTGGGAGCGGGGGATGCTCTTACTGGGAGCGGGGGAGGCGCTTACTGGGAATAGCGCGGCCGGGGGCGGCTCTTACTGGGGATACTGGGAGCGGGGGATGCCGTTACTGGGGGTACTGGGAGCGAGGGCGGCTCTTACTGGGGGTACTGGGAGCGGGGGATGCTGTTACTGGGAGCGGGGGCGGCCCTTACTGGGAATAGCGGGGCCGGGGGCGGCTCTTACTGGGGATACTGGGAGCGGGGGAGGCTCGAACTGGGGACGGGGGAGGCTCTTACTGGGGATACTGGGAGCGGGGGAGGCTCGAACTGGGGACGGGGGAGGCTCTTACTGGGGATACTGGGAGCGGGGGAGGCTCTTACTGGGAGCGGGGGAGGCGCTTACTGGCCGTACTGGGGGCGGAGGATGCTGTTACTGGGGCCGGGGGCGGCTCTTACTGGGGGTACTGGGATGAGGGGGTGGATACTGGGAGCGCTACTGGGGCCGGGGGCGGCCCTTACTGGGCATACTGGGAGCGGGGGAGGCTCGAACTGGGGGCGGAGGAGGCTCTTACTGGGGATACTGGGAGTGAGGGCAGCCCTTACTGGGGATGCTGGGAGCGGTACTGGGGCCGGGGGCGGCTCTTACTGGGGCCGGGGGATGCTGTTACTGGGGGTACTGGGAACGGGGGAGGCTCTTACTGGGGGTACTGGGATGAGGGGGTGGATACTGGGAGCGCTACTGGGGGAGGGGGCGGCCCTTACTGGCCATACTGGGAGCGGGGGTGGCTCTTACTGGGCATACTGGGAGCGGGGGAGGCTCTTACTGGCCATACTGGGAGTGGGGGAGGCTCTTACTGGGCATACTGGGAGTGGGGGTGGCTCTTACTGGGCATACTGGGACTGGTACTGGGGTTACTGGGAGCGGGGGCGGCTCTTACTGGGCATACTGGGAGCGGGGGAGGCTTTTACTGGGCATACTGGGAGTGGAGGATGCTCTTACTGGGGGCGGGGGCGGCTCTTACTGGGGGTACTGGGAGCCGGGGGGGCCCTTACTGGGCATACTGGGAGCGGGGGATGCTGTTACTGGCCATACTGGGAGCGGGGGTGGCTCTTACTGGGGGTACTGGGAGCGGGGGCGGCTCTTACTGGCCATACTGGGAGCGGGGGCGGCCCTTACTGGCCGTACTGGGAGCGGGGGATGCCGTTACTGGGGGTACTGGGATGAGGGGGTGGATGCTGGGAGCGCTACTGGGAACGGGGAAGGCTCTTACTGGGAGCGGGGGCGGCTCTTACTGGGCCATACTGGGAGTGGGGGATGCTGTTACTGGGCATACTGGGAGTGTGGCAGGCTCTTACTGGGACATACTGGGAGCAGGGGAGGCTCTTACTGGGACATACTGGGAGCGGGGGAGGCTTTTACTGGGCAGACTGGGAGTGGGGGAGGCTCTTACTGGGCATACTGGGAGTGTGGGGTGGCTCTTACTGGGCATACTGGGACCAGTACTGGGGTTACTGGGACTGTGGGTGGCTCATACTGGGCATACTGGGACTGTTACTGGGGGTACTGGGACTGTAGTTGGCTCTTACTGGGGTTACTGGGAGCGGGGGACGCCGTTACTGGGCATACTGGGAGCACGAGAGGCTCTTACTGGGACATACTGGGAGTTACTGGGATGTGCTGATGCCATTACTGGGCGTTACTGGTGTTAACTGGGAGTCACTGGGATGTGCTGATGCCGTTACTGGGAGTCACTGGGATGTGGTGAAGCCGTTACTGGGCCTTACTGGTCTAACTGGGAGTCACTGGGATGTGCTGATGCCGTTACTGGGAGTTACTGGGATGTGCTGATGCCATTACTGGGAGTTACTGGGATGTGCTGATGCCCTTACTGGGAGTTACTGGGATGTGCTGATGCCCTTACTGGGAGTTACTGGGAGTTACTGTGATGTGCTGATGCCGTTACTGGGAGTTACTGGGATGTGCTGATGCCCTTACTGGGAGTTACTGGGATGTGCTGATGCCCTTACTGGGAGTTACTGGGAGTCACTGGGATGTGCTGATGCCGTTACTGGGCGTTACTGGTGCCCAGGGCCGCCGTAACTGGGCCTTACTGGTCTAACTGGGAGTTACTGGGATGTGCTGATGCCGTTACTGGGAGTTACTGGGAGTTACTGGGAGTCACTGGGATGTGCTGATGCCGTTACTGGGAGTTACTGGGATGTGCTGATGCCGTTACTGGGAGTTACTGGGATGTGGTGATGCCGTTACTGGGAGTTACTGGGAGTCACTGGGATGTGCTGATGCCGTTACTGGGAGTTACTGGTGCTAACTGGGAGTCACTGGGATGTGCTGATGCCGTTACTGGGAGTTACTGGGACGTGCTGATGCCCTTACTGGGCGGTACTGGTGCCCAGGGCCACCATAACTGGGCCTTACTGGTCTAACTGGGAGTCACTGGTGCCAGGCGCTATCAGGTCTACCCATTCAATGACTGGGGTGGGAGGAACCACCCACATTTTAGGGGTGCACCCAAATTTGGGGGAGCACCCAAGGATTCTGGGGGGCACCCAGGGGGTCTGGGGGTGCTCCAGGGGTTTTCTGAGATCCCCGGGAATATTTTTGGGAATTTTGGGACCCTCAGGAATTTTGGGAACCCCCCCAAAAAATTCGGGATTTTGGGATCCCCCCCCCCAAATGAAAAATCCCGGGTATCAGGTCTACCCATTGAATGACTGGGGGGGAGGAACCACCCAGATTTTAGGGGGGCACCCAAATTTTGGGGGGGCACCCAGGGGGTCTGGGGGTGTCCCAGGAGTGTCCAGGAATCCCTGTGGGAATTTTGGGACCCCCAGGAATTTTGGGAAGCCCCCAAAACCCCCCCCCAAAAAATCTGGGCTATCAGGTCTACCCATTCAATGAATGGGGGGGGAGGAACCACCCAGATTTTAGGGGGGCACCCAAATTTTGGGGGAGCACCCAGAGGGTCTGGGGGTGTCCCATGGGTGCCCAGGAATCCCTGTGGGAATTTTGGGACCCCCAGGAATTTTGGGAACCCCCCAAAATCTGTGGGGACCCCCCCCCAAAATTGGGATATCAGGTCTACCCATTCAATGAATGGGGGGGGAGGAACCACCCAGATTTTAGGGGGGCACCCAAATTTTGGGGGGGCACCCAGGGGGTCTGGGGGTGTCCCAGGGGTGTCCAGGAATCCGTGTGGGAATTTTGGGACCCCAGGAATTTTGAATTGAACCCCCAAAATTCGGGATTTTGGGAAACCCCCCAAAAATCCAGGGTCATCAGGTCTACCCATTCATTTGGGTGGGGGGCACCCAAGGGTGTTGAAGGGGGCACCCAGGAGTTTTTGGGGGGGCACCCAGGGGTCTCCGTGGGTTCTTTGGGACCTCCAGAACCCGCGTGGAAATTTTGGGGACCCCACAAGCTCATGAGAACCCCCAAAACCCCCTGGTCTTTGGTCATCAGGTCTACCCATTCAACTCTAGGTGGGAGGCACTTAGGGGTGGTGATGGGGCACCCGGGAGTTTTGGGGGCACCCAGGGGATCTCGTCGTGGGTTGGCGTTGTGGGACCCCCAAAACCCGCGTGGAAATTTAGGGGACCCCACAAATTCATGAACCCCCAAAACCCCCTCCTGATCTTTCGGTCATCAGGTCTACCCATTCAACTCTGAATGGGAGGGTTTTGGGGGTGGGCTTGAGAGGGACCCACGCGTGGGGCGGTCTCGTCGTGGGGTTGGGGGCGTTCTTTGGGACCCCCAAAACCCGCGTGGAAATTTGGGGACCCCCATAAATTCGCGAACCCCCAAAACCCCTCCTGATCTTTTGGTCATCAGGTCTACCCATTCAACCCTATGGGAGGCTTTTGAGGGGGGGTCTCCCAGGGGCCCTGTGGGGGTCTCGGGGTGTGGGTGTGGGGCGGGGGTGTTGTGTGGGACCCCCAAAACCCGCGTGGAAATTTGGGGACCCCCATAAATTCGTGAACCCCCCAAAACCCCTCCTGGTCTTTCGGTCATCAGGTCTACCCATTCAACCCTATGGGAGGCTTTTGGGGGGGGAGTTTGGAGGGGACCCACGCGTGGGGCGGTCTCGTCCGTGGGGTTGGGGGGTTGTTTAGGACCCCCAAAACCCAGCGTGGAAATTTGGGGACCCCACAAATTCGCGAACCCCCAAAACCCCTCCTGATCTTTCGGTCATCAGGTCTACCCATTCAACCCTATGGGAGGCTTTTGGGGGTGGGTGGAGGGGACCCACGCGTGAGGGCTCGGTCTCGTCGTGGGGTTGGGGGCGTTCTTTGGGACCCCAAAACCTGCGTGGAAATTTGGGGACCCCCACAAATTCGCGAACCCCCAAAACCCCTCCTGATCTTTCGGTCATCAGGTCTACCCATTCAACCCTATGGGAGGGTTTTGGGGTGGTCTGGTGAGGTTTGGGGGGACCCACGCGTGGGGCGGTCTCGTCCTGGGGTTGGGGGGTTTTTGGGACCCCAAAACCCGCGTGGAAATTTGGGGACCCCCACAAATTCATGAACCCCCAAAACCCCCTCCTGATCTTTCGGTCATCAGGTCTACCCATTCAACCCTATGGGAAGCTTTTGGGGGTGGGTGGAAAAGCACCCGTGGGGAGGGTCTCGGTCTCGTCGTGGGGTTGGGGGCGTTCTTTGGGACCCCCAAAACCCGCGTGGAAATTTGGGGACCCCCAGAAATTCGCGAACCCCCCAAAACCCCTCCTGATCTTTCGGTCATCAGGTCTACCCATTCAACCCTATGGGAGGGTTTTGGGGGTGGGATTTGGGGGGACCCACGCGTGGGGCGGTCTCGTCCTGGGGTTGGGGGGTTGTTTAGGACCCCCAAAACCCGCGTGGAAATTTGGGGACCCCCACAAATTCGCGAACCCCCCCAAAACCCCCTCCTGATCTTTCGGTCATCAGGTCTACCCATTCAACCCTATGGGAAGCTTTTGGGGGGTGGGTGGAAAACACCCGTGGGGAGGGGTCTCGGTCTCGTCGTGGGGTTGGGGGCGTTCTTTGGGCCCCCCAAAACCCGCGTGGAAATTTGGGGACCCCCAGAAATTCGGAACCCCCCAAAACCCCCTCCTGATCTTTCTGTCATCAGGTCTACCCATTCAACCCTATGGGAGGGTTTTGGGGTGGTGGGTGGGGATTTGGGGGGGACCCACGCGTGGGGCGGTCTCGTCGTGGGGTTGGGGGGGTTGTTTAGGACCCCCAAAACCCGGGTGGAAATTTGGGGACCCCCACAAATTCGCAAACCCCCCCCAAACCCCCTCCTGGTCTTTCAGTCATCAGGTCTACCCATTCAACCCTATGGGAGGCTTTTGGGGGGTGGGTGAGAAACACCCGTGGGGAGGGGTCTCGGTCTCGTCGTGGGGTTGGGGGCGTTGTTTGGGACCCCCAAAACCCGCGTGGAAATTTGGGGACCCCCAGAAATTCGCGAACCCCCCCAAACCCCCTCCTGATCTTTCGGTCATCAGGTCTACCCATTCAACCCTATGGGAGGGTTTTGGGGGGTGGGTTTGAGGGACACCACGCGTGGGAGGCGGTCTCGTCGTGGGGTTGGGGGCGTTCTTTGGGACCCCCAAAACCCGCGTGGAAATTTGGGGACCCCCATAAATTTGCGAACCCCCCCAAAACCCCTCCTGATCTTTCTGTCATCAGGTCTACCCATTCAACCCTATGGGGACTGAAAAACCACGATTTTTTTCACGACCCCCAAAAAAACCCACGCGGGTTTTAGGACCCTCCCCCCACCCGAAAACTCAAACCCGTTTTGGGGACCCCCCCAGAAATTTGGGAAGCCCCATAAATTTGGGAACCCCCCCAAAACCCCATCCTGATCTTTCGGTCATCAGGTCTACCCATTCATTTGGGTGGGGGGCACCCAAGGGTGTTGAAGGGGGCACCCAGGAGTTTTTGGGGGGGTCTCCAGGGGTCCCCGTGGGTTCTTTGGGACCCCCAAAACCCGCGTGGAAATTTGGGGACCCCCACAAATTCGCGAACCCCCCCAAACCCCCCCCCGGGAATTTCGGTCATCAGGTCTACCCATTCAAACCTATTGGAAAAAATGCGATTTTTTTTCCACGACCCCCCAAAAAAAACCCACGCGGGTTTTTTCTTTTCCCACCAACCCCCAAAAAAAAACCCACCCAACCCCGTGGGCTGCGGTTGCCCGAGCAACGCGCGTGGCGCCGGCGCCGCCGCTGCTGAAGGAGGGAGAGGGAGAGGGAGAAGAGAGAGGAGGGAGATGCCGGTGGGCAGCACCCATGGGTGGGCTTTGAGTGGGGTGGGGTCGCGATTTTTTTTGGGTGGGGGGTTTTTTAGGGTGGGGGGGAAAAAAACCAACCAGAAATGACCCCCGGCACCCCTTTTTTAGATGTGCGTGGAGCCCCCCTGGCCCGCGGGCCCTACGCCCCCTCCCCTTACGAGCGGCCCCCTGGAACCCCCGGTTCTGCATCATCTCCGGCAATCAGCTGCTGATGCTCGATGAGGAGGAGGTGAGAGGGCGATTAATCGCGATTTATTTTCGATTTTCCACGGTCGATTCACCTAAAAAATTCATTTTCTTTTTTTATTATTTTTTTCCGATTTTTTTCCCATTTTTTTCCGATTTTTTTCCCATTTTTTCTGATTTTTTTCCCATTTTTTTCCCATTTTATTCCCATTTTATTCCGATTTTTTTCCCATTTTATTCCCATTTTATTCCCATTTTATTCCGATTTTATTCTGATTTTTTTCCCATTTTATTCCGATTTTTTCCCCATTTTACCCCCATTTTACCCCCGATTTTTTCCCAATTTTTTCCTGATTTTTTCTGCTTTTTTTCCCCTTAAAAAAAATAATAAAAATAAAGATTCATCCCCTGCTCATCCGGGACCGGCGGAGCGAACCGTGCCGGAGCAAACTGCTGCGGCGAACCGTCAGCGTGCCGGTGGAGGGACGCCCCCACCCCGAGCACGGTAAATTCCCTTTATTTCTGCCTCTAGAAACCCTTAAAAAATCATAAAAATATAAAGGGTTATTTTTTACCCCTCCTCGCCGCGGTTTGGGTGGGAAAAGTGGGGAAAAATGAGGTGAAAATTCGGATTTTTGGGGGTTTTTTCCCCTTAAAATCCTTAAAAAAAATGAAGATTCCCAACCCCCACCGTGTGGGAAGCCATGGCGACATCCCATAATGCTCCCCGGGGGGGAGGGGGAGGCGCTGGGGTTGCCGTGGGGACGGTTGCCATGGTAACCGTGGGCTTGCCCCTCCCCCACTCCCACGCGTGTTCTTCCCGCCCCTCCCCACCCTAAAAAATCAGATTTATTCCCCTCAAAAGGCCTTAAAAGGAGGGGAGGGCGTGGGAATTGGGGAGGGAGGGGTTGAGGTTGAGGACACGACCCTCCCCCACGCGTGCTTTCCGCCCTCCCCACCCAAAAGCCCTCCCCACCCCCAAAAATCGGATTTATTCCCTTAAAAAGGCCTTAAAAAGGAGGAGGGGAGGGGCGTGGGAATTTGGGGAGGGGCGTGGGAATTTTGGGGAGGGGGACACGATCAGACCCCTCCCCACCCCCACGCGTGTTTTCCCGCCCCTCCCCACCCAAAAAAATTGGATTTATTCCCCTTTAAAAAGGCCTTAAAAGGAGGGGAGGGCGTGGGAATTTTGGGGTGGGGAGGGTGACACGAAGAGACACGACCCCTCCCCACGCGTGTTTTGCCGCCCTCCCCACTCAAAAGGGCCCCTCCCCCACCCCCTAAAAAAATTGGATTTATTCCCCTTTAAAAGGGCCTTAAAGGAGGGGGAGGGCGTGGGAATTTGGGGAGGGAGGGGACACGAGGGGACACGACCAGACCCTCCCCACCCCCACGCGTGTTTTCCCGCCCCTCCCCACTCCAAAAGGCCCCTCCCCACCCCAAAAGCCCCTCCCCACCCCCAAAAATTGGATTTATTCCCCTTTAAAAAGGCCTTAAAAGGAGGGAGGGCGTGGGAAGTTTAGGGGAGGGGAGGTTGAGGTTAGACACTGACCCCTCCCCCACGCGTGTTTTCCCGCCCTCCCCACTCAAAAGGCCCCTCCCCACCCAAAAGCCCCTCCCCACCCCAAAAAATTGGATTTATTCCCCCAAAAAGGCCTTAAAAGGAGGGGGAGGGCGTGGGATGGGGAGGGAGGGTTGAGGTTAGGGACACGACCCCTCCCCACGCGTGTTTTCCGCCCCTCCCCACCCCCCAAAATTGGTTATTCCCTTTAAAGGCCTTAAAAGGGGGAGGGGCGTGGAGTCAGGGTGGGGAGGGGACACGGGACTCGGTCGACCCCTCCCCACCCCACGCGTGTTTCCCCTCCACCCAAAAGCCCCTCCCCACCCCAAAAATCGGATTTATTCCCCTTTAAAAAGGCCTTAAAAGGAGGGGGAGGGGCGTGGAATTCTGGGGTGGGGCGTGGGACTTGAGGGGGCGGGACGCGACGCGTGTTTTCTCGACCCTCCCCCACCCCCACGCGTGTTTTCCCCTCCTCCACCACCCAAAAAAATTGGATTTATTCCCCTTTAAAAAGGCCTTAAAAGGAGGGGGAGGGCGTGGAATTTTGGGGTGGGGAGGGGACACGAAGGGACACGACCCCTCCCCACCCCAGCGTGTTTTGCCGCCCCTCCCCCACTCAAAAAGCCCCTCCCCACTCCCTAAAAATTGGATTTATTCCCTTTAAAAGGGCCTTAAAGGAGGGGAGGGCGTGGGAATTTTGGGGTGGGGAGGGGACTGAGGGACACGACCAGACCCTCCCCACCCCACGCGTGTTTTCCGCCCTCCCCACCAAAAAGGCCCTCCCACCCAAAGGCCCCTCCCCACCCCAAAAGCCCCTCCCCACCCCCCAAAAATTGGATTTATTCCCTTTAAAAAGGCCTTAAAAGGAGGGGAGGGGGCGTGAGATTTAGGGGGGAGAGAGACTAGGAGGACACGACCCTGCCCTCCCCACCCCCGCGTGTCTTCCCGCCTCCCCACCCCAAAACGCCCCTCCCCACCCCTAAAAAATCGGATTTATTCCCCTTTAAAAGGCCTTAAAGGAGGGGAGGGGCGTGGGAATTTGGGGGTGGGGGAGGGACCTGCAGGACACGACCCCTCCCCCACGCGTGTTTCCTCGCCCCTCCCCACTCCAAAAGCCCCTCCCCACCCCAAAAAAATCGGATTTATTCCCCTTTAAAGGGCCTTAAAAGGAGGGGAGGGGCGTGGGAATTCTGAGGGTGGGGAGGGGACACGATCAGACCCCTCCCCCACCCCCACGCGTGTTTTCTCGCCCCTCCCCCACCTCAAAAGCCCCTCCCCACCCCAAAAAAGTTGGATTTATTCCCCTTTAAAAAGGGCCTCAAAAGGAGGGAGGGCGTGGAGTTTGGGGGAGGAGGGACTGAGGGACTCGGCCAGACCCTCCCCACCCCACGCGTGTTTCCCGCCCCTCCCCACCTCAAAAAGCCCCTCCCCAAGGCCCCTCCCACCAAAAATTGGATTTATTCCCCTTTAAAAGGCCTTAAAAGGAGGGGAGGGCGTGGAAGCTCAGGGGAGGGGAGGGATTACGATCAGACCCCTCCCCACCCCCACGCGTGTTTTCTCGCCCCTCCCCACCCCAAAAGGCCCCTCCCCACCTAAAAAAATTGGATTTATTCCCCTTTAAAAAGGCCTTAAAAGGAGGGGAGGGGCGTGGAATTTTGGGGTGGGGAGGGGATATGAAGGACACGACCCACCCTCCCCCACCCCCGCGTGTTTTCCCGCCCCTCCCCCACCCCAAAAAGCCCCTCCCCATCCCTAAAAAAATTGGATTTATTCCCCTTTAAAAGGCCTTAAAAGGAGGGGGAGGGGCGTGGGAATCACAGGGAGGGAGGGAGCACATGAGGGACAAAAAGGCCCCTCCCCACCCTCAAAAAGGCCCTCCCCCAAAAAAGCCCCTCCCCACCCCTAAAAATTGGATTTATTCCCCTTTAAAAGGCCCTCCCCACCCACAAAAAGGCCCCTCCACCCCCAAAATGCCCCTCCCCCTCAAAAATGGCCCTCCCACCTCAAAAAGGCCCCTCCCACCCCAAAATGCCCCTCCCCACCTCAAAAAATGCCCCTCCCCACCCCAAAAGGCCCCTCCCCACCCCAAAATGCCCTCCCTCCCCACCTACCCAAGGCCCCTCCCCACCCCTAAAAAGCCCAAGGCCTCCCCACCCCAAAAAGGCCCCTCCCCACCCCAAAGGCCCCTCCCACCCCAAAAGGCCCCTCCCCCACCCCCAAAAGGCCCCTCCACCCCACAAAAAGGCCTCCCCTCCCCACTCCCACCAAGGCCCTCCCCCACCCCAAAAGGCCCCTCCCCACCCCAAAAAGGCCCCTCCCCACCCCAAAGAGGCCCCTCCCCACCCCAAAAGGCCCCTCCCCACCCCCAAAAG